GTACTAACACAACATATTTCCCCAAACTATTATTCCAGTATAATGTATCGTCTTGTTCAGATTCAGTAATTTAATTAATTATAATTACAAGCTACTAAATCTCTTCAAAAGATGTAGGTTCTATATAAGTATTATTTCTTGACATGAAAATACTAGGTCACTTTTTGAAGAGAAGTCAGCAGTACAGGTCAGTTGTGTTTTACTGGAACTCTTGAATAATCACTTTATATTTCTCTTTTTTTGTCTAGTGGTACTAGCCCTGAATCAAATGAAAGAAAATGAACCCTGGAAACACGAGTGCAACTAATTCTTTGGGTGTTGTTACAAGATCTACAAGACCAGCCAGGACAAGTGAAGAGATACAGGTATGCTTATGGACCATTCTTCCTGATGCCATTAGCAACAACTCAGTTCAAGACAAAATATCCATGGACTCAGATACAGATTCATGTGATTCCATAGCCCTGTCACCCACTGATGCCAACACAAGGTCTGAAAATGAAGGATTTATCAATAGAAAAAGAAAGAAGAGGAAAAAGAAGACTCCACAGGTAAGTATTAGTTCTGATGATCAAACTAACATACAAACATTTAATGTTGAATCAATCACTAACACCACACCATGCAGCATACCTACAGCACTAACCAATACATCTAATGCAGCCACACAGAAACAATTAAACATTCCACCACTAATAGCTGAAGGAGTTCCATATATCCTTCATCAACCAAAAAATGCTGCTGAGTTTAGAAAACATTTTCCCACATTTAAATCTAAGGAACTACATCTTCCCAAAGGTGGTCTTGTTGTAAAAATGTGATCAACCTAAGGAGACTGCCCAACTATTAGCCCACTGGCCTAAAGGAGTTTCCGGTGGCAACACTAGCATACACACACACTAGCAGACACCTACCAGTTATGCACAATAGTTGTTAAAAGTATAGACCTTGATCTTGAAGAAACATAAATTCATGACAAACCTGGTAGCATCAGGCTTTCATCCTAAGAAAGTAGAGAGAATTATATCTTTCCATTCAAACCAAAAGACAACATAGATTAAAATTTCATTTGAAAACAAAGAACACTGACTCTCTACTTGCCAACAGATGTGTCCTCTTTTATGAAACACAAAAAACAGAAATTGCCAACCCACCATTCAAACATATGATCCAGTACTTCAAATGTCAGACATTTGGGCAGTTTAAACCTTACTCTAACACTAACCCAAGCTGCGTAAGATGCAGAGGGTCGCACAAGGTGGAGTGCTTCCCTAATCAGTGTGACAAGGCTAGATGTTTAAATTGCCAGGGCCCTCACGCAGCTAGTTATAAAGTTTGCCCCAAATGCCAAAGCAAAGCTTTAAATTTCCTTCTTACCACAAAACAAACAAAGGGCAAAGCCCAGTTTACATTTCTCTTAGACAGAGCACCACAACCCCAGCATACTAGAACACCTCCCCTGCAAATTCCATCAAACATAGCGACACTTGCACAACAATTCAGGCAGATTCCTACCATCCCAGATTACCCATTAGAATCACAAGACATGCAACCTCTAAACTTAACTGTTCTGCAAACATTACATTTTACAGCAAATAACTCATTTAGTAACAAAAAAAAAAAAAAACAACATCATGCAAATGCTGATTCCCATAACACAACAACACAGAACACCAGAGTAGCATTTCAGAATATTCAGGAATTGGAAAATACACCGTTAACTTTCTAGCATGCTTCAGAGTTTTTCAAGCTTCCCCACCAATGGCAGCTACCTGAAACTTCTAACGAAGCACTAATTGCATGTATATGTAACAAAGTATTATTTTATTCTTCCCAACCTAAAGTCACATCACATAACATTAAGCACAGAAACACATTAGCATAATGAAGCTAATTCAGACACAACCTAAAAATATTATATATAAATAATCACGGCTCTTTCAACTCTTAAGAAACTTGAGCTCCACGATCTCAACAGCAATGTCAATGCAGATATAATCATAATATTAGAAACATTAGTAAAAATAAAAATAAACAAATGCCACTATTCTGGGGTTTAATAAATCTTACTCAATCCCTGCCACAACAAATAACAACAATAGAGGTATAGCTGTCCTTTTTAAGAAAATTTAGCTAACATTATATCAACAGAAGTCCCTCTAACCTCAACAACAAGTGAAAATATATTCTGTAATGTCCATTTAGATAATATCAATGTCATACCAATAGTTGCCATATATAGCTCCTCCTCAAAAAACCTAGATATAAATTATCTTTAAGGATGCATAAATAAACACCCTAAACTAATAATCATAGGAGATTTAAATGCCTCACACACAGATTACTTCAGCATTTGCACAAATAATAGAGGAACTGCACTCCACACACTACTAGAAAATAATAACATGCACATAATCAACACGAACACACCAACAAAATACAACTCAGCAAATGACACACACAGAGTTTTAGATTACATTATTGTACCAAACTAATTGCTTCCAAAATCAAGTTCACCCTGAAATTTTTAGTGATCACTTCCCTATTTCATTTACACTTTAATCAAACACTGCACATCCAATATCAGACCTTCCACCAGCTTATAATTACACACATGGACGTTTACAGAAATTTTTCCAGGGGGCAAAGTCAAAATCAAGAGATGATGCACCTACCTTCAAAGTTTTGCCATTACAGTCAAGAGAATAGGCAAGCTCCCACAATCAAACTTGATGGGTTTAATATTTGTAAGATTAGTTTAAGCCATACTGCAGACTTGCAGCTATATATATATATATATATTTACTATTGTGGAGTGTGTGTGTGTGTATACATATATATATATATATGTATATTGGTATACTTTGGTGACAGATTTTCTTGTAGGCAGATTTTGTTAAACAAGACC